CCCCAAAACCCCAAAACCCCAAAACCCCAAAACCCCTTTTCTTAATTTAAATTTTGAATTCTTAACTGATAAAATTAAGAAATAAAAATGAGCAAACAAGCATTAGAACTAGTGAGGAAATTATTTGTAGCAGTTGCTGATAGGGAAGAGATTACGGAACAGCAGAGACAAATACTAGCAGCTATGGATAATTTTGAAGCAGGTGTATGATTTTCAAAGCTGGATCAAGGTAATTAAATCGACCTATTTTGCCCAATAATTTTGACTGCTTATTACCATTTATTTTTAGATAAGAAAGGTTATGTATCCAAGGAGGATATATTATCCCTGCTCACTTCAAATGGAATCACAGATGTCTCAGAGCAGAGCATTTCATACATGATTAAATATTTTGATTCCATGGAGAACGACAAATTGAATATGAATGATTTTACCCAAATTCTTCTTCCATGTGCAAATGACTACCTAAGAAGTAGAGCTTCAAACCGAAGGCTTCATCATGAAGTTGATGCCTTCTCCAAAGAAGTTCAGGGTCAACTTAGTACTTTGATTCAAAAAGAGTGTGAATACCACACTGAAATAGAGAGCATCAAGAAAGAGATAGCTTCTTCAGAGAATTATGATCCAAAGGAAATATTCAGAGCTATTGATATCAATATGCATGATTTCTTAGATTCAAACACAATTGAAGAATTTTTGAAATCTCAAGGTTTCAAAGCTTCTAAGACCGATTTGAATTCAATTATTAGAAGGTTTGATGTAACTGCTGATGCAAGGATATCCTACACAGAATTTACTGAAGGGATCACTCAGGCAAATATTCCTTTGAGCCTTCCACAAGAATTTTCAAAACCCGGCTACCCATATAATAACTTAAGAAATACTCCCCAACCGAATTTAAATTCTATGGAGCCTCAAAAGATGCCTAATTTTGAGAAAAGGGATTATGGGATGGAATATCAGCAACCTTCCCCTTACAGAGCTGAGAAGTATCCGCCTCCACAAAGAGAAGAGTACGATCCTAAAATGTCTCGGATGAAGTATCAAGAATTTGTGCAGCCAAGACAGAGTTATCCAAACTCTATTACTGGAGGAGCCGAAACTGAAATTAGTGAAGGATATTACTCTCAACAAGAAAAGAGACATAGCATTGATAAACATGAACATCAGTACAGGTTTGAAGACTACAAAAGAGGATTTGCAGAACAACCAAGAGCAGAATACAACAGCTCAAAAATGCAAGGCAGATTCAATGAATTAAACAAGGGTTTAATCCCTGAAAATTCCTTCCCTCAAGATCAGAGATTTAGCAGCTTTGATAAAGACATGCCACAAAGAAATTCTTTTACCTCTTACCAAGGGTACAGGAATGAAGATAGTAAATTTCAAGCACCAATCGAACCATTCAGATCTCAAGATCAGAAATATGAAAGCCCTAGCAGGAAGCAGGTGAGATTTGAGGAGGATATTCATCAAAGATATCAATTAAATTCTTCAAGCCAAATGAATAGACATGGGTCGTATTATCCTCCCGAGAGACAATCAGAATTTGAAGATAGAAGTCGTTTATATGATAACTCCAGCAAACAAAATTTCAGTGACGATAGAAACTCTCCTTATAAAGCCTCAAGAGTCCAATATAAAGATTATGATGCCCAAGGTTCTCCGAGTAGATATCAATCATCCCCTATTTCCCAATATAAAAGAAAAGAATACCCTGTGTTCCCTGGGGGATACTCAAATATGGCTCCATCTATCCCTCAGGAAGAAATGAGGAATTTCAGAACAGATGAAAGTCCTATCAACTACAACAAGTATAGATATAGAGATGCAAATGAAGGTTCTCCTTCAAGATATCAAGCCCAATTACCAGATTATTTAAGACAAAGCCCTAATAAATACAATATTGAGAGAATGAATAGAAAGCAAGAACTTCTGGCTAGCAGAGATGCTCCAATTTATGACTCCCACAAATATTCCAACCATACTAAAACAAAGCCAACTTATGAAGATTTAAAAGCAAAGTATTCTGAGCCTGAAACGAAAAGGCCAAAAAGTGAGTATGGAAGAAGCAGCATGTATAAAAATCTACCAACTATACCAGCATCGTATCAAGATAAAGCTCCATCAAAAGATTATAGAAGCACATACCTTCCCCAATACAATAGAGAAGAAAGGTATTCTCCATATAGACCATCAACAGGGTATCCTTCCAGCGGCATGAATCTTTCCAGAGATATAAATCCTTCTAGAGAGGTAAATCTTCCAAGGGATATGAACCCTCAAAGAGAAATGAATCCTCCAATTGGTTTTGGAAGGCCTCAGGCTCCTCCACCAGCAGATGTGAGACCTAAGACACCTCCAAGGCATACATCAATAGCTAATCCAAATGAATCTGCTGATAAAGCGCCTCTCAACACACCTCCTAAAGCTACAAAGCAGTCTAAAGGAGCTTTCAATATGATTGTGAGTCCAGAAACTGCTACCAAAAGTGGGGATGGTTGGTCCTTTGTGCCCTCTCCAGATGTCTCAAAGAAAGAAGGCCCTCCTCGCAACATAATGGATGCTCCTAAAGGACCTTTAAGAATATAGATTTTTAATTTATTCAAACTAGACATCTCTTAAGGGGTTTTGGGGTTTTGGGGTTTTGGGGTTTTGGGGTTTTGGGG